GGATTTGCCTGTCACTGTGGCCAGCAACAGAACGCCTACGCCTACAGAGGGACCACAGGTGGCTTGCGCTGCACCACCTACAGCTCCAAACACACATCCCATATTCAAAGTAAACCCGAAAAAGACCGGGAGGCATGTGGATGGGTGCCACGTTTCATCAACGGAGCCGGCCCAAACTCCTTCACAGGCAAACATAAGCACGCTGTATTTGGGGAATCAACCGCACACAAGGCGGTGGCTGGACCGTAGTCTGCTCCACACTGAGTGCATGGAACCAATCTTCGAGCCTAGCACGGCCACAAGGATCGTGCACCACGTCCCCTCCAGCAACGAAAAACTGTCACCTGGAGCCGATTTGGACGAGGTAATAGGTAGGCACTTTGTCTACATGTACCTCAAGCTCATCCACACCGGGGATGTCAGGCAACATCCAATCACTTGAAATAACAAGATCAAACAAAATAAATCAGTTAAAGGATACGGCTATGCCGACATAACTCTTCGCTAAATTAGCATACGAAGCAAGTTGAATAGCAACGAATCCGCAATAAGTACAAAATGTCCAAAATTTACACAAAAACGCTACAAATGCAATAAAGTTAACGAATATAGCCACAATTAGTGTATGCAACGTGGCCAGTTAATAGAAGAGAATTCAGGTAGGCAGTACAGACGAAATAAAGTGGAATGAAAGTTATCCAGGATAAAGAGAAAGTTGGTTTAGCCCAACTGCGGTGAAGATGGATGACGAATGCAACGAAAACCTCAGCATACAAACATACAAACACCTGACCAAAGACGAGCCAAAATATCAAACACAACACGATAAGAAGCAGCAGTAATAACAATATCATATAACGGCGGATACTAATCTTCAGCGTCGTTTGAATTGTACACTAGTTAGCCTTTATTTGTGAAAGTGATTTGCTGTGTACATAATCTGTTACCTTCAGTGACCACGTGGGTTATCGATAGCTTTCTATTGGAATTAGACTTTTTAATGAATATGCAGCCCTATCCGGCAGTTTTAGCATGTAGTTGTCATCATGTAAGGTTTGAGTATGAGGATAGCTACCAAAAATAAATTAATCCGAATTTTAAAGCAGTTAGTTCCCTTAAATAATTTGAAAAGCAAGGAAAGAAGACGAAGGCTGGTAGATGCATGAATTTCGTATTGTCTCCTCAGTACCATTAACAATAACCGATATGCATAGATATAGCTAACAGTGGGTGCAACCAGACAAGCTTAAGGTGCAAAACGTATGACGGAAGTTCACACATACGTCCAATGCAGCTTTAGGCTAACAAACAATTGTTTCTGAACACCCAAGACTGGCTTCATCCGGCTTATAGCGTTAGCCTCAGCCAGCGGAAGGAAGCGGGGATTAGTGTGACGTAACACAACTTTAAAGATTGAGCCCAGCTCTATCCGGTGACCCGAGTCTAATAGGTGTTTGCCTATCGAGGAAGCCGGCGGTCTGCGCGAACATGGAATCTGACGAGAGTAGGCAATCTGAGCAACTTCACGCTGAACCCATCTTGGTACATGCTCCTTTATTCGGAAAGTCAGCCTTCTGTTGGTTCTGCCTATGTAACCGTTTCCGCATTCACATACAAATTGGTGTACCCAGTGTGTGTTGGCCCCAATAGCCTGAGCTTCCTTCGTTGGAGGTATGGGCAAATTTCGTGTTAGGTTGATGAGGACAACTTGTGCAGCCGAAATTATACGCTTAGTTGTCCTCAGCGTGGCTAAATAAATTGGAAAGGTAACTCGATACACACTTTCTTCTTGGCTGCCGTGTGCACCAAGTCCTTTGGCCATCGCGGTTGGCTGTGTTTCTCGATAAATCTTCGATAGTAACCGTTCGCCATTAGTGTTCCTGTAATCAACACTAGCTCATCGTCCAGACAGTCGGCCGAACAAATTCGTCTGCAACGAATAAGTAGGGTTTTCACAAGTGTCTGTTTGCACCGCACTGGTGCAGGTGCTGACCGGACCAAGTTGATTTTCGGTAAATGGACCTCTTAATCAATCCATCATCCATGCGACTTGAGTATATAAAAATATGGCAGACAACTGTTCTGTTCTACTTCGCATATGACCCGTAACTTAGCATGAGCACCATTGAGCCGTTTTACCAAATGTGTGAGCTGGTGCTCCGACGAACAGAAAGCCAAGATATCATCAACATATGGTTTGTAGTAGGGCACCTGGGCTATTTCCGTCGAAATGCTTCTTTCTACCATCAGCATGAAGAAAGCAGCCAGCACGGGACTTAATGGGCTACCCACATCTACGTCGTAGACATGACGGTGTGGTGCATTCCGAAATGAAAATCTACATTCTCCATGCACATTAGTAGAGATTCTCTTAGTAGTTCAGTCGGAATTGTCTAGTCGTCCATTCGTTTCACTGGACAGCGGTTGACCGTCTGACGAGGTTTAGCTGCGATGAAAGGAAAATTGATCCGAATTTCCTTGCGGTACCACCTGAGAAGCAGTCATCGCTTAGACTAGCTGTTGAGTCGCCGCGGATTTGCTGCTCAAACCCGACACAACTGGACAAAACCCTTGAGCGTAGACCAGAACGCGAAGACGACCTGAGGCAGTACGAAATCATATCTCATGGGAATACGGTGGCAGATATGGTGAAACAAAGCTGCTAAACACAGTGGAGCCAATGAATCATATCGGAGATGCAAATTGATTGACACAGTCAGTGAAACCTCCAACAGAGTTCACATCTTGAGCTAGACACCTACGCAAAGCTGCACTGAATCTCTGATTGATGTTCTAAACCCAAACGGCGATGATCGGTCGTAGGCTCGTTCGTTTTGTTCTCCTAACAATAGCTCACAACGCCACCGAGTTATTGATGAATCAACAAGCTGGGAATTGTGACATCGTGTACGCAAACGACAAGGAGCAGTTTGAAACCAAAACCACGACCTAAACAAACGTACCTTATGGTCAACCAGATAGCCAGCGAAAAGAGACACGACCGCCAATCCAAGATTCTGGACAGATTGGATGAGACCGTAAGCAGTGCCTCGTTTGTGAACCGGCAACAGATACGTAACCAGGGGCCAAAGGCTGCTAGCCAGAATGGAATAGGCGAAACCCATGATGATCATAATGATGATTGGTGGCAAGGTGTAGCTGGCGAACGCGAAACATAAATGGCACATCAGAGTGAGCAATACACTAGACAAGAGCCAATGTAGATTGCAGCCAACGAGATCGATTGCGGCGCCAAACAAAGGGCTTGCTACGGCGGACACGATGTAGACCAGACTGTTGACGGCGGAAGCGTCTTGAACAGATAGGTAGTATCTGCCTGGAATAGTAGAAGACAAAGTAGGAGCGAGGTGAGATGATTCAAGTTGATGAACCTGTGCTCGATCGATCTCACACACATTCAGTTGCTATGTGCATCGGCCGGGTTGAAACTCTACGTTACATATCTGCCCATATGATCCAGTTTCATCGGACCTAAATAGGCTGATGACGTCGTCCTAGAATGTAGAATCCCAGTAATTGAGGAATCTGCGAAACTCCTAGGAGGATTGGATGAACTATTAACTTGGTCAAGCTTTCGCTATCTCTCTCCGTCAACCTTTCCAAGTGTTGTGATGACCCATTCTCTCTTTTTCACCCCAACAGGCCGCGGTAGTGAGTGACAAAAGCATCCCTTGCTTTTCCACCGTAACCTATCTCTGTGTTTTTGTGTCTTATAATTTGTCCTAGGCGAAAGATATTCTTGAAACTTTTCAAAATAAGAATACTATCCTTTCATGCTCTCAGTCTGAACACACTAACCACACCCAGTGCTCTAATTCGAAGGTTTGTAAATGCATGTATCCTCTCCCACTGGTTACACTATTCCTCTGTTATTTTTCCCAGACATCTTACGAAGCATGACACTTTTCTTGTGCGCTGACTAAAATTTATCTCCTGATGCTCCGAATCAAGTAAAGAACCACTCGCTGGTTTTGCCATTAGCAAGTATTTACACCCAAGCTTAAATTCTTCAACAAGACCTCAACGATTCTTATTACGCCCTACATAGTGTTTTAGCCAACACGGTATCTACTTCTTCCATGTGGTCCAAATTTAAACTTGTTTTGTCGTAGCTCATGTCTGTCTCGCTCGTTAGTCTGCCCAAAAACAATGATGATACGGTTGGCCTGATGAAAACTAAACTCTTGGTTTTCCTTGAAACTATGCAAATTTTTCAACACTGATGCTATGTGGCAGTTAATACGCAGGGTAAATTGCTGTATAAGGCATATCTTGAGTTTGCTTTCAAGTGTCGGCCGGTGGCCGAGTGGTTGGCACGTTTGCTTTCCAACCATAAGGTCACCGGTTCGAATCCGCGTAGGGGTGGGCGTCCTCGCGGTATACTCAGCCCGCGCGCGACTGGTGGTGGTCGCGCGGCAGCGAAGCGCCGTTACGGCGTATAAGCTGACACACACATTTTTCATTGCTTTCAAGTCGGACAACGCTGAATAAATGTAGTCTCAGTGCGATGAAGACAACTACCACAACTATAATGTTAAGCTACAGAAAAGGACAGTGGAAACGTGGTAGACAAACTCTAGTCTCAAGTCAATCTGAACGGGGGCAGAAAAATATAAATCTTTGGAACTAACGTTAAAAAAGCATTAAAAGTGCAACAAACGTTGTACCAACAATTCGATGCTGTTGCGCACGAGCTGACATATAGCCGAGGCGCTCAAACTCAAACATAAGCGAAGACTCGAGCCCGGGAAGCAGAGATTGCAAGTCAGACGCCTGAACATAGGAATGTCACTTGACTCGCCCAAGTTGATAGCTTTATCACAAACATAATTCGTACATTATGCAACACAAGGTACCCGAAGTTCTACGTAGTAAATCGTAAGCGCGTCCCCGGAATGGTGGCGTACATCAACACAGTTCAGCCTTATGAACTTATGAGTAGGAGATTGTCGAGGTAAGTAACTGTGGATAGTTCGTAGCAGGTCCCAAGCGAGATAATCAACAGCACGCCCGGAAAAACACTAGACACCCGTATCATCCTACCGGTGCTCGTCAGTAGTGCACAGCACTCAGATACATAAGACATGAGATAGAGGAGACAACAGTAGTACATTGGCCATTTGAATACTGAATGGAAGCAGCAAGAACAGATGTATCTGCGTAGCTGCACCTAAAATCCTTCAGATAGAATGATTTGCTAGGTTAGAGGGATTTCCGAAATTTCATGTCAGCGTGTTTTCCCAACGATTCCGACACGGACTTTACTTCCGCTACGTGAGGCAGCAAATTGTTTCATATATTCAGTACCCCCTGTTCGAAAAAGAGTTGATGAACGACCCTCTTCAAATTAGGTACTACAAGTTTGCGCCGGTGACCTCATGTGCTGCTTGGTGTGTCTAGGTGCAGCAGAGGCCGCAACGTGGGATATATATATATATATATATATATATATATATATATATTCACAGTTTGTTAACAGATATTGTGCCATCAGAACCATGGCAGAAGAAAAAATGGAGAAGATAGAAACACGAAATGCGATAAAAATATGGAGGACGAGTTTGTGTTTTACGCACGCCATCTTTGACTTGTTTTTGTTTTTGCTCCGTGAGTTCTTTGCGTGCATTAAAGGGGGGATGAAATGGCAGAACAATATTGACGCCACTGGTGTCTGTTGCGGGCCATGACATCCAATGCTTTCAACCACTGAGATTCCGCATCTCGTGGTCCCCAACCTGGAAGATGGACTGGTCCGACTGGCGTCAAACTTGAGGTTGCCATCTTCATGCTCCTTCTCCACGTCATTGGCTGCCCACCGTGGCACTTTTTCTAATCACTCTCTAGGACTGAAAATAGCGCTCGACGTGAAAGCCGATGGGCTGGCATGAGCAAAACGTGCCCGAGCCAACGCATGCGATGTCAGAGAATAACGTTGGGATAACTGGCACTACGCGCTCCAAGCACTCGGTCTCGGACCTCTATGTTGCTTAAGTGGTGTTGCCACCACACCCGAGCAATCCTTCCTGGACAGCGATTGTCGGAGGGTGACAGCCGCGTCATGCCTTCCGAGCGAATAGGCCGAGTCTCACAGCAGTACAAGAGTACTGCACAGATGGAAGCATTGTACACCCTGATCTTGAGCTTGAGACTGACATCATGACGACGCCATAGGTGTCTCAGTTTGATGAATGTAAGACGGGCCCTTGCAATCCGTTGTGATACTTCAGCTCCAACACCGCCACCAGCCGTGATGCAAGGGACTTGCTCCAGAACTTGTCCAGCAACGGTGAACGCGGGTTCAGGCACCTGCCAGTCCTGATGCAGTGTTGTACATTTTCCCGGAGTGAAGCATAAGTCGTACTTAGACGCCTCTATCGCTAAGCGGTCCAAAACGTTCTGGACGGTTTTGTGGGTCGTCGTCCAGCAAGGCGATACCATCAGCGTAGTCCAAGTCCGTGACTCTGTCGCCAGGAAGAAGCTCAACACCGCAGCTCAGGACATCTTCCAGTGCAAGATGGGGTAATCATCAAGAAGTGATATCCAGTGCGTCACGATGAGGTCGACCCGCACTCGACGCCAAGACAGTGTGCAAACTACTAGACTATTGCGCTGGTCTTGGTGGGGCAATCCTCGTAAAGTTGGGATAAGCCTGGTGGCGACATGATGTACCACCTCAATCCTTTGTACTACGCTCCGGATGCGCCGTACACCAGCACTGATCGTATGATTGAAACGAAGAGGCGAGTGACAATAACTTCGGACAAGTAGCTGCGCTTGAGCACTCAAAACATACGAAGTCCGTGTGGTACAGCATATCCGTGTTGTTCACGGACTTTAACTCGCAGCGTGAGAGTACACCGAGGTTTCTCACCAAAGGCGTGGTATACAACGGCTGACCGGCCACATTGCAGGTTCGACTGTGTCCACCCTTCCCCAGCCTCATGAATAGCGACTTGAGAGGGTTAATCGGAAGTTCGACCACTGCAGACCATATGGAGAGGCGACCAAGATCCCACTGAAGCAGGTCACAGTCATCGGGTGCGTTGATCACTTTTAGGCACATTCAAATCATCTGAAAAGAGTGCAGAAGACGAAGGTAGAAACTAAGACACATCGTCTTTATGGAGCAGGAACAAAAATAAACCCCAGTACCGAGTCTTGGGGCCCGCCACTAGTCGAGCGGTAAGTCGGTCAGACGGTTGTCGACCTGAACTCATTCCTTTTGACTAACGAAGAAATTCCTGTTACATTGGTGCAGTGAGCCGCCAACACAACACACCCACAGCCAGTCGAGGAGCACTGCATGATTCCCCTTGTAAAACGCCTTACTGAAAACAGTAAATGATGTCAACCGACTTCCTCTGGTTCAGCGCTTGCAACCATTGGTGCTTCGTCAAGAGGAGATTGGTGATGAGTGAGCGACCTTACACGAAACCATACTGTGCGGGGGTCTAGATGCTTTTCGACCCGAGAAGCTGCACAATAGCCTTTCGGCGTCTTTGCCAAAACATCGGTCAGGCAGATCGACTGTTAGTTGTCTAGTGAGCGTCTTCAATCGCTTGGTAATGAACAGCTCGATCACGAAACGCGAGATGATGGCGGACATTAACTCGAGTGTTGTGGGTGGATTCCATCAGCCCGGCAGGCTTCCTGCCATCGACACTAGCCAGCAACTTGCGTACATCTTCAGTGCTGCAATCCAGGCTGTACAGTCCATTAGGAGCGGTACCCGTCGAACTCGGCACAGACACGTGGTCACTTGCAAATACGGAAGCGAAGTGTGCCGCCAACACGGACGCAAGATAACTGATCGAAATTAGGGGCAGTCCATCTGAGCCCACCAACAATAGCATATTGCCTGCAGGACTCAGGAGCCGTTTCAGGTAAGCGAAGATCTTGGGGGCCGTTTTTGCTGCGGCTTTGCATTTTCGCGTTGTTGCAGAGATTTCACTGCCACTTGTATGCCTTGAAATCTTCGAGTTTATTCCACAGTCTGCATCGCCGTCGAGCCAGTTTTCTGTACTATTTGTCGAACCAGTGTGGATTGACTGATCCAACTTTGCGAATCAAATAGAGGGTACGACGATTTTGCTCCCAGTTTCTTAATAAACCAACAGGCTTCATCAGATGAGTTCTTTGGAAACGATCTGTCCACTGGGCTCGCGCCCCGATGGAGGACATCAAATTCCGTCTTGCAGCAGTCAAAGCTGGACTTCAGCGGAGCAGAATATGGCAGCGGCAGCTCCAAGATGGCTCTGAACATACAGTGGTCACTCGATGCCAGGAGCTGTAACATTTGTGTTACAAGCACACGTTGCCCACAGTTGGTGAATAACAGGTATACTCACGATGGAATCGAGCGCACGGTTATGCGAGTCAATTGGTTTACCTGCTGCGTGGCCCCAGTCTCAAACAGCATTTCTGTGAACGTCTTCTCAACTTCACAATGGCCGGGGAGAAGTTCAGTCTCAGGCCAATGTAATCGAGGCAAGATGAAATCGTCTATCAGCAAGAACTGCGGAAGACCCGTGGTTGTAGACATGTGACAACCAGTCACAGCAATGGCTCAGTGGATCGTGATTGACCACGCCCACGAGCAGCTCGCAGCCTTTGAGGTGAGTCCAACACCATAACCGCTTCGCTGTCGTACAACCATAATGGCCTAGGGAATGAGGGATAATAGGTGAAGGAGGACGATGACTTAGTGTAGAACGTTAATTCCTTGAGCAAGCAGTCAGGATCAAGGCGCCTACGTCTTGTCAACAACACATCGGCAGAAACCTGGCTATCGTGTAGAGATAAGGCGGCATCAGTTAAATTTGAATACCAGTAGGCTTGAAGAGCTGTGATGGCGCTTCGGACCTCAGCCTCAGAAGGAGCCTCTAAACTAATCCATCATGGCTCAGGCTGCACCACCCGAGTAGGATGAGGTCCGAAAGCAGGGGGTCAAGTGAAGTGAGCTTGAAAGTGTTCGGCCCAACGGCACCCGCGCTGTCTCTGATTGCCTCAATGACGCATAACTTCTGGAGATAGTGGTGCGGACTAGTTGGAAAAATTTGCGGTACTTGCACGCTGCTCTGGCCTCTAGCATTTTTCAGCCCTATTGATCCACCAGGCTTCCTTGTCAGAACCCGGGCTCCGTTTCAGCTAGCGTCTAATGCTTCATTTGGTCCCACTGTGTCCTTCTGGATTCCAAAAAGTTCACAATGGCTGGCGTAATGACCACTGACAGTGCTGAAAGCAGATGTTTTAGCGTCGTTCATCGCGATCGAAATCCTGTTTCGTTGAAGCTTCACATCATTAGAGTAACTGGATGTGAGCATGATATGCAGGGGATCTCAGTAATTTTGCTTGGATGTGGCCTGAGATAACGTTTGATATGCTTCCAGTCGAAATTCATGGGAAATTGGCGGATACAAAGAATTGATCAGAGAATATATACACCTTCCAGAAACAGCCACAGTCCAGCACTATCAGAAACCCACTGCGAGTTGGTCTATTTGAGTCCATCGGTGGCAAGTCGATGAAGAACGACGAGTGACAGATCAATGTCCACTATTCCTGTAGGCCGGGCTGGTAAGAAACAGCTGGCGTCCGATCCACAGTTACAGATACGCTCGTCATTGTCTGTGCACCCAGAGTTGAGACATAACTTACCAACTAGTTAGATTGCTGATAAGCTCATACGACCTATGGGTACATTCATGTCCCCTGCAAATAGAACGATAACCGAACTAATGGATTTGTGAAGCAAGATGTTGGTACATTCGGGACTGCGGTCGGTGAGAGCATAGGCAGCACCAACAAACAGATAAGTATGGCGCGGTTTCGTGCGCCATTCTTGACCGTTCACGGAAATCCAATCAATCTGTGGTGGCTCAGCCGCCATGAATTCTAGTGAATTGCGCGGCTAGCCAACAGTCGATGCCACTAAGCCTTGGGGAACAGCGGTGGGCCGTCACGAGTTACAAGCTAGCTGTGATCTAAAGCAACTCATCCTCCAGTGCCGCTCAAATTACGCACGTTGTAGAGGACAGTAGCGGGTACTTACAGGTATAGTAACAGCACTGTGAAAATCGCCAATCAGAGTCCTATTCAGAAACGGGAACGGATTTGCGCGCACCGTTTACAAATCAGTGTTAACTGAATCACGGGGAATGCTGATCCTCAGCAAACCAAAAATTCCCATTTATCAGAATGAATCAAGGGAGGCAGAATTTGAGTAAAGAATTCTTTTCGGCAATTCTCATCAGACTCAAACATTACATGATGAGGAAAATGCTAAATGTGCCGGATTGGGCTGCGTATTGAACACAATGTTTAATTTCATGGGTACAAATCAATAAATCACGGGGTCATTGTAGGTGGCAAGTATGTACAGGGGAAATCACATCCGAAGTTGTAGGCCACGGTAGAAGTAAAGGACGTACAAACTGTTTTTGCACGCATAATTCTGGCTTGAGATGGCGGATGTAGATAGCTTCCGCGATAGACAGAAGATGCATTCGGAATCCGCGCGTGAAACGTTCAGGAACAGTATAGATGACTCTAAAATCATTTTCCGTTCCTGCGTGACTGCACTCTAGAAGGTGAGATAGGATGGAACTGTTACTCGACCTCGCTTCGCCTTTGTAAAACCATTTTGGGATATGTTCGCGAATCCTATGAGATAGGCGTCTCGTGGTACGACCCACGTATCGTACCCCACAGGAGCACGAGTAAAGATAAACAAGCATTGATCGGGTCACCGGAGGCAGCCTGTCTTTCAAAGGTTTTGCGAATAAAGGCTTGTTGTAAAATACTATGCGCAGGCGAGCCGCAAAATAGGTCTTTTCAACAGTGTCTCTCAGGCGTTTGGACAGGGCATCAGCCGCACTGTCGCCTTTGAAAGGAATATGCACGATTAGTTCTTTTTTGGGTACGTTCATCCTCGGTGGTTTGATCTTGCGTTCTTTCAAATGTTTGAGGATGAATCTATCTGGATACCCATTCGCTCTTAGCGCATCGCTGATTCTCTGCAATTCCTTGGTGATTGTGTCCGGGGTGCAAATTCTATGTGCCCGGAACGAAAGAGTGCGGACTAGGTTTCGTTTGTACTGTATGGGTACCGCACTATAGAAGTTGATGTACTGTCCGGTCCAAGTTGGTTTTCTATACACCCCTCTGCTGCACGATCCATCGGCGTTTCTGATGATATCAACATCCAGGAACGGTAGTCGGTTTCTGGATTCGTGCTCACATGTGAAATGTAGATTCTGATGCGCATCATTAAAAGCTTCCAACAGTTTCACAGTCTGCGCTTTCGATTTGCAGAGTATAAATGTATCGTCTACATAACGTATATACATCTCGACTTCGTTGATGTGCGTTCTTAATACGTTATGCTCCAATTTTGCCATAAAGATATCTGCTAGGAAGGGTCCCAATGGTGAGCCCATGGCAACTCCATCAATTTGACGATACATCTCCCCGTTAAAGGTGAACTGCACGTTTAAGGTGCATCTAAGTAACAATTCCTTTAGGAGGTTTTCCGGGATATTTATAGGTACAGGCAGTTGCCGTACTAATTCGCAGACATATTCTACTGTTTCCAACAACGGAATATTCGTAAACAACGACTGCGCATCAAATGACGACATCCATTTGTTGTTAAGGTTCACATCCCTTATCTTCTCAATGAACTCGAAAGTGTCTTTCACGCAGTAAGTGCAGACAGTTTTACGCAGCGGTTCCAGCTTTTCAACCATCCATTGGGCTATCAAGTGTTGCGGAGAGCTAACCATATCCAGGATGGGACGCATTGGAGCGCCCTCCTTATGTACTTTAGGAAGGCCGTACAACCGTGGCAGATGTCCGCCTGAAGGTCTCAACTTTTCGAATTCGCACTTTGTGATAACATTCTCTTTCATCACTCGTCGGAGCAAATCAGGTCATTTGTTTCTCTAACCCTTCTGTATTATCCTTTCCTAATGTTAGCTTTTGAAACTTACGTTCATCACTAAGAATATGTTGCATCTTACTAACATAATCAGTTCTATTCATTAGAACTATACCAGAACCTTTATCCGGCTTAGAGATAATTAACTCTTTGTTTAACCATAACTCTCTAAGTGACTGCATATGTTCGCTTGTAAGTAAACCACTACTGGCTGGTCTAGCCTTAATGTAATCATGGCAGGTGTTTACTAAGCTAGATAACATGTGCTCAACGTCACCTGGCGAATTTGATGACAGGTCGCGCGCCTGCGCTATTAAGCTCTCAAATTGCACCTCTAATGCAGCCTGATCAACTTTTTTTACAAGGAATGCAAAACTTAGGGCCTAATGACAACACATTTAGTTGTGTTGGGCTAAGCACGTTGTTGGAAACAGTAGAATATGTCTGCGAATTAGTACGGCAACTGCCTGTACCTATAAATATCCCGGAAAACCTCCTAAAGGAATTGTTACTTAGATGCACCTTAAACGTGCAGTTCACCTTTAACGGGGAGATGTATCGTCAAATTGATGGAGTTGCCATGGGCTCACCATTGGGACCCTTCCTAGCAGATATCTTTATGGCAAAATTGGAGCATAACGTATTAAGAACGCACATCAACGAAGTCGAGATGTATATACGTTATGTAGACGATACATTTATACTCTGCAAATCGAAAGCGCAGACTGTGAAACTGTTGGAAGCTTTTAATGATGCGCATCAGAATCTACATTTCACATGTGAGCACGAATCCAGAAACCGACTACCGTTCCTGGATGTTGATATCATCAGAAACGCCGATGGATCGTGCAGCAGAGGGGTGTATAGAAAACCAACTTGGACCGGACAGTACATCAACTTCTATAGTGCGGTACCCATACAGTACAAACGAAACCTAGTCCGCACTCTTTCGTTCCGGGCACATAGAATTTGCACCCCGGACACAATCACCAAGGAATTGCAGAGAATCAGCGATGCGCTAAGAGCGAATGGGTATCCAGATAGATTCATCCTCAAACATTTGAAAGAACGCAAGATCAAACCACCGAGGATGAACGTACCCAAAAAAGAACTAATCGTGCATATTCCTTTCAAAGGCGACAGTGCGGCTGATGCCCTGTCCAAACGCCTGAGAGACACTGTTGAAAAGACCTATTTTGCGGCTCGCCTGCGCATAGTATTTTACAACAAGCCTTTATTCGCAAAACCTTTGAAAGACAGGCTGCCTCCGGTGACCCGATCAATGCTTGTTTATCTTTACTCGTGCTCCTGTGGGGTACGATACGTGGGTCGTACCACGAGACGCCTATCTCATAGGATTCGCGAACATATCCCAAAATGGTTTTACAAAGGCGAAGCGAGGTCGAGTAACAGTTCCATCCTATCTCACCTTCTAGAGTGCAGTCACGCAGGAACGGAAAATGATTTTAGAGTCATCTATACTGTTCCTGAACGTTTCACGCGCGGATTCCGAATGCATCTTCTGTCTATCGCGGAAGCTATCTACATCCGCCATCTCAAGCCAGAATTATGCGTACAAAAACAGTTTGTACGTCCTTTACTTCTACCGTGGCCTACAACTTCGGATGTGATTTCCCCTGTACATACTTGCCACCTACAATGACCCCGTGATTTATTGATTTGTACCCATGAAATTAAACATTGTGTTCAATACGCAGCCCAATCCGGCACATTTAGCATTTTCCTCATCATGTAATGTTTGAGTCTGATGAGAATTGCCGAAAAGAATTCTTTACTCAAATTCTGCCTCCCTTGATTCATTCTAAATCAGTGTTAATAACAAATCCATATTTCCGCCAGTTCCAGCATGCATTTAGGGAAAATTAGTGTTTTCCGACGACGACGACGACGACGACGACAACAACAACAACAAGTACAACAGAATGTGAGTAGATAGCCTGTCTGAGTTTACCACGGCATAATCAACACTACACTACAGATAACTCGGTATCAAATAGACTAGACAGGAATCCCGATCAGGGGACAAATATAAACATGTCACTAGTGCTGATCATGAATCATGTCTTATAAAATATAGAGTTAAGCATTGTGGGTAGCCTGGACCTCTAAATGAAAGGTCAGATGTGCCAACAGCGCTTAGTATGGTCGTCAATGAATTAATCCCCCGCTGATAACTCAAGTGATCAAGCGAACAAAGTCATTATATGCAGGCATTTCCCTTCACGAACTTCAATAAAGCAAGAAGAAACAACATTATAACAGAATTTACTGAATTCAGTAATTTCGCGTATTCTCCTCAGCTGTTTACATACAATGAGTGGAAAACAGTGCGATGTTAACAGCAAAAATTCAAAGCGGTCGAAGGTCTTTAGGCTCACGTGACCTGTTCCGAGGAAAACGCAATCGCTAGCCTCACCAGGGTAGGGCTAGCGTGGTCACGAAATCCGTTTGCTTGCATAGCTTTGGCTTCAGCCGCCGAATTGCTGCCGCCTCCGCAAACTGTAGTAAACGGGGATTAGCCTGTTTGCTAACTACCCTGAAATTGCCACGTGGGTTCTGGCATTCAGGGCAGTCTAGTATGTGGCGGGCAACAGAGCTAGTTGGTAGCTTCGGACCCTTAGCAATCATGTTTCGCGGAACATGCTCTGCAATCCTCGCTGACAGCATTCTCTCAGTTCGGCCTACGTACTTGCTACCGCAAGTACAATTAAAGAGGTAAATGCAAGAGGCGGTAACTTGAGAGTCTGGTCTGTCCAGGTTGGATTTACAGAGCAACCTTCTGACTTGATGCAATACCACTAGCTCAGCCGCATGGTAACACTTCTTAATCGATTGACGGATGCGATGCCTGCATCTTCGGTCAACTTGATCTCCTTTGAAGGGCAGTGTAATGGATACTTTTTTCTTTGGGACATCGGTTGGTGGTTTATCTCCGGATCGTACTTTCGAGTGCCGAGTTATAAATCGCGCTGGATACCCATTCGCTTGTAGCGTCAAGGTGACTCGTTCTAGTTCATGTTCGATTGTGTCTAATGAGCAAATTTGGCGAGCTCTAGCAAAAGTGGTACGTACTAGAGCTCGTTCATAGTTCATTGTGCAAAAGCTATTAAAGTTCAAGTATTGCCCCGTCCATGTTGCTTTTCTGTACACAGATCGAACGAGTGTACCATCTGGCTTTCTCTGTAAGTTAACATCTAGGAAGTGGAAAGATCCGTCGGACTCGTTTTCCATTGTGAACTTGATGGCTGGATGGCACATATTCATCAGTTTCAGTAAGTGCGCCGCCTGTTCAGGTGTGTCAACGACGATGAATGTGTCGTCTACATACCGGCAATAAAGGTGTACATTTTGTAGGTAAGAAGCTAACACATAGTTTTCCAAGTTTCCGAGGAAGATATCAGCCAAAACTGGACCCAATGGGCTGCCCATGGCCCCGCCGTCGATTTGTCGATACAGGGTTCCATTGAACCGGAACTGAATATCTTTTGTGCATAGGCGCAGTAATGATTTGAGCTGGAGCGCTGGGAACCCAACTTTATCAGCGTGTCTGGCTATTATATCTAGTGTTTCTTCCAAAGGTACGTTCGTGAACAATGATGATACATCGAAAGAAACCATGTGTTTTCCCTTTACATTCAAATTCCTTATCTTGTTGACAAATTCAAGTGTCTCTTAGACTGTAGCTCGTCAGTTCCCTCCGGATGGGCTCAATAAGTTTTGCTAGCCATCGCGTTAATTTTTGGTATGGTGTATGTACCATTGAGACGATTGGACGTATTAGGACACCCTCCTTCTGAGTTTTCGGTAAGCCATACATGTGGGGAAGTCGCGATCCCCGGGGGCGTAACTGAGTCATAGTTTTGGCATCCATCAATCCGGCCTTCACTAGCTTCTTCAATTCACGGACTATTAACTTCTCTATCTGCTCAGTTTTGTCTCGGTTTGTTACATCCTGCACAAAACGACTAGAATCCGCAAGGTTTGATTGGACTTTCTGAATGTGCTGTTGCTTTTCCAAAATCACAACTCCTGATCCCTTGTCTGGTCGCAGTATTACGAGATTTTCATTTCGCCGCAGTTGCTTCAAGGATTCCCAATGATCCTTCGTAAGGATTCTGCACTTTTCAGTTTCACTGACACAGAATTGGTTAGCCAAATCTACCATTTTAGCTCTAAACCAGCCGCAGGCGACCAAAGGATACGCGGAGCTGTTTTCGAAGCCACTGCGGCCTAAGCAGTTTTATTAGTTTAATTTCAGCTGGTCATCACTGTTTAAGATAACTTGTTTAAGACAACTTGACAATGGTAGCCATAACATATAAGCGCCTTGGGCACCCATACCGATGAGACCATAGTTCGACAAACACAACAGTGGTTCTGTAAACGGATTTTAAGGGCAAGAGAAATAGCTAGCTGGCATCGGAAGCGCTTCAGTGTGGTGCATAAGGGATTGCAGTAGGGGTATCCATTGTTTCAGCAGTGACAGTTGATTGCTTTGGTTTTAAGATTTCGTGTGCCATCGAACCTAACCATGATAGCTTGCGGAACAAAGTCTACGTGTAGCGGCATCTCTGTGTCCAAAATGAGGAAATAAGGACACAACTACTATGCGATAATGATCATGTTATTTCTGCACAGAAATATTGGACTGTGTAAGTTGCGTTGGCTTCAGCAGCTACTAAGCTGCACAAGATGACCGCGTTATGCTCAGCGAACCTAGAATTGTGTATCATCCGACAGGACCAACCATCGGCCTCGTGACGGGAAATGAAGTCCCCGGTCGTTAGATTAGGTTCTGTAGGCCAGAATCATCGTGTAAGCGTGTACCTAGTTCCAAATGTGCCGTGCATGGCTCGTAAACCGCACCAGCGTTGTGTCGATCGCTATCTACTAGCCGAATTGACTATCTGAAGCTTTCATGACGTAGGACAGTGAAAGGCCGTGTCACCGAGGCCACTGCAATTTCGCATTATAACCGGCTGTTCGTGGTCCTATGGCACAGGTGAAGTGCCAGTACCATGTGCTGAACGCAGGCCTAGGGTATTTCGGTAATGTGCATGGTACTTCTGTAAGTTAAAAGTTGCTGAGAAAGGTTGACACAAGTGCAGTCAACAAGAAAAATGCAATAAAACAAAACCGGAAGTGATCTACGGTACGAGTTGAAAAAGCAAAGGGAATTACGAATCTCAACGATATCCGAACCACGACAAAAAAATTGCTCCGCTCAGGGCAAGCGCTTCAAAGGTAATGCACATTTGGGTAAGACTGTGCACAACCATGACCAAGTGCGAACGAGCAAATCCACATGCATGCACTGTGAAGGTGATCATCAAGACACGACCAAACCCATAACATCAGGTGGGATCAAACGAAAGAATTAGACAGCGACATGAAATATCTATGATTCTGTGGATTAACGAGCATAACTGTAATTCGTGCTGAAACATGGTGATAAGGGAAAAAGAGTGAAAGTACAGGGAGGAACGATCAGCGAGGTCCATGCGACCAGAAACAGTCCAGATAGGGTTTGGAAAACAAGCCAAAGCCAGGTAAGGATGTCAGTTACATCCACTTTGAAGTATACTTCTTCTGCCTCATTAGGAGGGAAAGTATCGTTGTGTGGTACCGAAGCGTTATCATAACGCCCTGACGCAATTGATAACATCAATGTTCAAGTAGACCGAGTGAAACAAATTCTACCATTCTCGGTTTGAGAGAAAATGCGGAACACACAGCACGAAATAATGCGGAAGCGAAATGTAAACGACATTGAGAGACGCATGAGGCAAGTTCATCCATTATGAATGCATTAAAATCTCAATGATGTCGATAAACTTACGTTTAAAGAAGACCAGCCCGAGACTAATGAACGGGAAGACAGTGATGTAGTACGTAACGCAAATCAAGCAGATGAGCCAAATTCCAAAGGGAAAGTGGATAATATCTCTCAGAGAGATACGAGGAGCCTGTTCAGATTCAGATGACACATTGCGACTGGATGATTCTTTCGCTGCGAGGTAGGCAATTTGGGCTGCGCGGATGCGTCTGGCTCTATGCAGTGGGAGAGGAAGAAAGCATATCAAGGACTGGTGGAAAATGGCAAAAATAAAGTGCGACACAGTGCTGAAGTAGTAATAGTAATCTCAACAGTCTAGTAACTGGACATAGAGCCAAGAAAGTCATGGAAATCAGTGTATAAGAGACAGTCAATGCGTCATAATCGTCGTGGCATGCTAGCTGAAGGTGGGCAACACACTTCAGCTAATATGCCGCAAGAAAATGGAATATTTTGACAAAAATACAGAACAAAACATTTTTAGTTTGTTTGTCACACGCCGATTTTTCTCTTTTTTGTCATTTTCAATGTTTGTAGAATTAAACATGTGAATCAATACAACACTGTACACGATTCTTCCACTGATTCCGGTTGCGGGCCATGTCTTCAAGAGTCCTAAGCCATTGGCACTCCCCATCTTTGGGTCCCCATCCTGGAAGACGTACGGGTGTAACAGCGGCTAGACACGACGTCAGCGATTTCATGTGCTGCCGCCAAGTGGAAGGCTGACCACCACGCGGTCGCCTCCAGCCAGGTCCTTGAAGAGCGAATAGAGCGCGACGCGGTAGACGCTCAGGTGCCATGCGTAGGACATGACCGAGCCATCATAACTGGCGCAACAAAATCAGTTTGTTGAAGGAAATACTTGCATTCCCCAAGACGCGACATCGAACGTCATTACTGGTAACTCGATGTTGCCACCGAACACGAGCGATCCTCCTTAAGCAACCGTTATCGAACGCAGAAAGACGACGCATGTCTTCCACGCGAATCGGCCAGGACTCGCTCCCATACAACAATACTGAGCGAACTGATGCGCTGTAAACTCGGCCCTTTAGTGAGAATGAGACGTCGCGACGACGCCACAAGTGCCTCAGATTGACAAATGCTGATCGAGCTTTAGCGATACGAAGCGAAACTTCTTTGTTGATAGTGCCGTCAGCGGAAACACAGCTCCCAAGGTAGACGAAACTATCTACCTGTTCAAGTTGTGCACCTTGGAGAGTGAGCAGGGGTGCAGGTGAAAGCCAATCCTTGAGCAGTACTTTACACTTCGATGGGGCGAAGCTCATGCCATACTTAGATGCTTCAACCGCCAAACGATCCAGAATGAGTTGCATACCTTGAGGATCGTCACCAAGTAAGGCGATATCATCAGCATAATCTAAGTCGGTCGCGCGCTCACTCCGTAGAAGCTCTAGGCCAAAATGTTGGAAACCTTCTAGGGCATTCGACAGAACGTCTTCGATTGCGAAGTTGAAGAGGAATGGAGACATAGGGCAGCCCTGTCGCACACCGCTATTGACAGCGAATTGCGAGGAAAGCTTGCCATAGACCCTCACTCGGCCGGATGTGTGAAGGTAAAGTGCTCGTAAGATGGCGATATATTTCTCTGGCACCCCGTTCTTTAGTAAGCAACGCCATAAAGCAGGTCGATCAACGGAGTCAAAAGCGGCACGTATGTCTAGAAATGCAACGATAGTGGGCCTGTGGTGAATGTGGCGATGTTCAAGGAGTTGGCGGAGCGTGAAGATTTGATGCACGCATCCGCGGCCAGGACGGAAACCAGCTTGTTCTTCACGGTAGTATGATTCACGTACTGGGGATAGTCTACGAAGTAGAATGGATGCTAACAGCTTAGAGGCAACCGAAATAAGACTAATCCCGCGATGATTTGCACATGAAGTGCGAGCGCCTTTCTTGAAAATTGGGACAATAACTGATTCGCCCCAAGAGGAAGGCACTTTCTCTTCATGCCAAATTTTTGCGAACAGCGCGGTTAGCTGGTTAATGACTGCCACACCGCCATACTTGAATAACTCCGGAGGAAGTGCGTCTAAGCCGGCAGCCTTGAAGCGCTTCAAGCGTCGAATCTCGAGGCAGACTTCTGCTTCGCTGGGTGGATTCAATGGGACGAGCCATGGTGGACAGCAAGGTGTACTGCATGTACTGATGGATGGTGGAGGCCAGTTGAACTGCGAGTGAAAGTGCTCGGCCCAGCGGTTCATACGCCTCTGTTGGTTGGTGATCGGAGACTCATCCAGCTCACAAATGACCTCACTGACACCAGGCTTCCTGAGGCCAGTGGACCGAATGAGTTGGAAAAGCCTGCGAGTGTTACCAGAAAGGGCAGCAGTCTCCATCTCTAAAGCACGCTCAGACCACCATGTCTCGCGATCCTTGCGGAGGCTTTGCTTAAGCAGCCGGTTGGTAGAACGGCGCCGCTCGTTGCAATCTGATTCCGCGGAGATATCTTTGCGGCGTTCGAACAGCTCCAGAGAACGAGCAGAGATCCAAGACTTCAAAGGGCGTCGAGTTAGACCGCAGCATGACTGTCCGGAAATGGTCAGCGCGTTCCGTATACAAGTCCAGTGTTGTTCCACTTCTCGCGGTGGATTGCAACTGAGTGCATATGCCAGTGAAGACTGATAGCTCGCCTGGACAGAGGAATCAGTTAATCTGTTTACATCAATCTTGCGGTGCTTCGTGTTTCGGGATCCTCCAAAACACATACAGATTTTCGCGCAGACCAGAGCATGATCTGAATCAACGAAAGTGGACCAAAAGGACCTGCAGTCCAGTACGCTGCCGCGCCATCTGAAGCTAATCGCAATGTGATCAATTTGAGACCAAGGTTGTGTTGACGAAGGGGGACGCCAAGTTGCGGAACGCTTCTTCGTACGCCTGAAGCTAGTGCTCGAAAGAAACAGACGGTTGTCTTCGCACAATGTGAGAAGTCTCTCTCCGTTATCAGAGCGGTTCTCATCGAGCGCGGGATGACCACCCAGGTGGCGTTCGCATGGTCACACAGTGCTGAAAATCGCACAGCATTAAAGAAGAATCTAGTGATGCATCCCGTGTTTGGTTGAAGACCTCACAGGACACGGCTGGCAGCTGGCATTAATGATACGTTTGTCATCTTTTTCCAGTTCCACTGTTATCAGTGAAATGAAGCGTACAGCAGTGAAGCTGTAGCTGAAGGTGCCTCGCACGATGAACACATGTTCGCAACCGTATGTTGTCGATAAGGCGTAGACAAACACCTTGCACAGGTTTAGGGATTACACTTCCTCACTTCCTAGACAATAGTGTTGTACGGCCGCGAAGAATAAGTTGAAATCATTGATGTGCTGATACTGGCGGTGGTGGTGATGATCCGTTGAGCACAAGTTACAAACAGTTCAGTTCCGTTTAGCTAAACAACATTGATCCGGTCAGTGAAGTGCGTAAAAAAATGAGGTCAAACTCAAACATTATACACCGTAAATGGGACGCAGACAGATGTGCACATAATAAATCAGGATGCAAAAAAATCTAAGTGTAAGTAATCGAATGTAAGGACGTAATTGACAGAGCGAGTACGCTATGTCTGAAAGAGTCTGGTGCGGACGATTTCGGGGCAAAATCCACGAGGACGACACGCACCATCAACACTGAAACAGAGATGGGAAATGCGACATAATGCGTCCACGTTGCGCCATACAACGATGTTGCACTATGCACCAGATAGACGCCAAAGTGACCAAGAGGCACCAGTAGAGTGGGGACACCAAATGGTATGGCAACGACTATAGAATACATATGGTTGGCGGCATCCGGTTTCCGATTTGCCTGTCACTGTGGTTAGTCACAGGACGCCTGCGCCTACAGAGGGACCATGGATGGCTTGCGCTGCACCATCCATAGCTCCAACCACACACCCCATATCCAGTGTAAACCCGAAGGAATAAGACCGGGAGGCATGTGGATGGGAGCCACGTTCCATCAACAACCGATGCGCAAAATCCGTCGCAGACACTGTTGATGAAACCGCGCGAGATATAGCACATCCCGCCGGTACATCGTACACGTTTCGCTGCCGTATAGAATGGACAACAACATGGATTTTTACACCATTACATTCGTAAAGAAGGTAAGCTAATGAGGATGATGACGGTAAGCCGGTGGTTGTTCCACACTCGGTACTCCAGCTTCCTGAATGCCGCCGTTGACCTTCGATACTAGGAATACGCAGCTCACTGTGCATCTGCTAATCAGTCGAAATCATAAGCCCAAAGTAGCAGAAGCGACATGCAGTTTCCAATACTTAAGCACCAAGGCTTATGGGCAGCACCATTGCAGGTTGCATCATTCATCATCATTATACACGCCAGCTAGAGGTGGAAAGCACCTCAGCTAGCGTGCCGCAATACAAAAAGAAAAAGAAAAAGAAATGCAACAGTTGCATGACAGTTGAGCTACCAGCAACGGGTGGATACCGTTCAGGAAAGGTACCAGACGGCAACAAGGAAAAAAGAAAAATTATTATGTTTTAGGATACAAAATGAGATCGTAGATGGAAGAGAAGCTAAAAGGGATGGGGAGGGACGAAGAAAATCACAGCATAAACGCCACTGAGATCGGCTCCCTGCCATGACAGCAAGTGTATTCAGCCAAACGTGTTCACCGTTTTTGGACCCCAACCATGGAGCCGTGACGCTCCAACCGAGGCCAGCTCCAAAGTGAGCGACTACGTTCCTCTCAAACAAGTCATCGCGTGGCCACCCCTCCTCTTCTCCCATCCACACCCCGGTGAGCAAACAACGCACGTCGTGGAAGTCGGTGGGCTGGTATGCGCAACACGTGACCGAGCCATCGCAGTCTGGTGCGGGAAATAACGGTGCTTAGCGGCTCAGTTCCTTTTCCTGTGCCGTAAACAAGGCGTCGAACACGCTCGTCACTCACGCGGTGTTCCCACCAGATGTGAGCTAAATTACGAAGGCACCGATGATCGAACGTAACTAGCCTCTTCATGTCTGCTGATCTTAGGGGCCAGGTTTCGCAACCGTACAGTAGGGTAGAACGTACCGCTGCATTGTACACTCTACCCTTCAGGGAGAGAGTAATGTCGCGCCGCCGCCATAAGTGGCGAAGACTAGCAAAAGCACTTCGAGCTTTTTCTCTACGGTCCGTGATCTCATCTTCAATCCCACGGGTGCTGATACAACTTCCCAGG